TCACCCTTGGAGCACGCAGAAGGCTATATCATATATACCAATCATCATGCGCAACGAAAAGGTTTGTTCCATGCACATGTGTCGTCATGCGAGTCTCATGTAACAAGTGCATGGTAGTTTGGTCACCATGTAGATGTTTTGGAGTCAGCAGCATTTGCCATAAGGATTGACTATCAGACTATCACAAGACCACTGCATGTCGCCCAGCTGCCACACTAAAGGGGCCCAACTGGTTGAAAGATACCAGATAAAAAAATACTGAAAAAAATACAAAAACATACAAACACATGTTACATGTTCCTTGGCAGTTGCAGTATCTTGTAGTTTTGAGTGTGGGAGAAACCTTATGAAACCACCCCCCGAGCCCCACTGCCACCCGCCTTCATCCACTCAGAAGAAACTCAACCATTGTCCACCACGCACGGTTCCTGCGCACGGTTCGCGCCGTGAAAAACTCGCCATGTTTCTGGATCACGAGTCGCCGTTGCTACAGCCCAGCAGCCCTCCGGAGCCACTGCCACGCTTGGACTTGGCCAATGGCTCGGCGTCCGCAGGGGAGTCGCTGGAGCCGCTGGAGCCCGTGGAAAGCAGGCGCGTCCAAGGTGATGGCGTGCATCGATGTCTTGGAAGATGATGGTCCTCTTTCATCCTCTTTCAAATTTGAAAAGTGGTTGGCTCCATTGCTCATGTTTATGGTGCCAATCAGGATGAATCAGGTGCATGTGGGGAATGATCCTTTGAAGAATCTCAGACATTCACCGCGGCAATCATTTGTGGCACCTGAAGTTATGACCACGATACATTAGTCGACCTGACAAGAGACGTTTCAAGGAGGTGGACACTGAGTGGTGGTTGGTTTTGGTCCTGATTCGAGCCTCTCCTGAAGGCTTTTGTGCATGCCATATAGAAGCCTTAACTTATGGCTGCTTGATTTCCATCCCAGCCTACAGTCTTCCACATGAGCAGACCGTACCAGAAAAGATCAGAAAAGCACCTTTGGATGGAGCTGTTCTTTGGGTAGTTCGGGTGCGGTAGGAACAAAGCTGGGCTCCCGAGCAGCGAGAAATGAAGTTGTCCATACATTGGGTTTGTCCTATAATTTCCTGTAACAGTCAGTAAGCAAGTATCACTATCACTATTGTTGAACAAGGCCTTTACTAACCATCACCATCCACTGTTACAGGCAGTAGGATAGATCCAATCCACATGTCACATGAACCATCATGAATCCATCATGTTTTTGGCCAGGATTGACATGGTCTTCGCGCAGAGTGGATCATTAGGTGTCACGGCCGCAGTTGTAGCACACCGAAACCGGGCGTTTTGCAATGACCTCACGGCAACTCACAGCACCTTCACGGAATCTATGGGGAGGTTCAGCACCTTTGGGCTAAGACACGTCGAATCATCTCAGCTTTAGAGAGCCGAGTGGTATGGAACCCACACAACTTGGCCCACAACTTTTATAACTTTGCTACTCGGCAACATTCAGCAACACTTCTTCCTGTGCAATGAAAGGAGAGTCAGAAAAGACGGGCCAACACCTAGAGGTCCCGATTGAAACAGATCACTTTGACTTTGACATGATTATAGACATGCCATGAAACACCAATGGTCCCCTGTCTCAAATCCGGGTTTTCTTTTTCGAACAGATGCCTCGATGCTTCCCAGGTATCGAGTTCAAAGAGTTGGAGGCACCCTTTGTGGTGGAACAGGTGCATGAACACGGCTTGGCGCCTTGATCGGAACGGGCGGGATGAGCATGAGGGCCCTGGTTTAAACAAGTGACTTGTCGAAACTTTGTAACTCAACCTCGTAGGCTGCGTAGCTAGATTCATTGTAAGATTGTAGCCAATTAACTATATGATGTGTAGTTTATATATGTATCTAAATTTCTATGTTATGATATAGTATATGTTTTTTTTGTTTTTTTTATCAGTGAGTTAGTACACGTAAATATTGAATTGCAAGGGCATGACAGGAAGGAAAGAGTCCACTGGTGTTCTTGGTTGCTGTTGACTTGTGTACCTCACATCTATAATATATTATATATACACATTGTTCTATTCAGTAGATATACAGGTACACAACATATCGTTTAATGGAGGCGTTTGCTTGGTCCCGCTGAGGCTTATGGCCAGGATTTGCGCCATGGAGATCAACTGATCTTGGTCGACGGAGATGCTTGGCACTGCATGGAGACGGCTCATCGACTGCGCATGATGGAGACGGCCAGTTCATTCTGTTTGATGAGCCGAAGTCGATGTGCAGTTTGATTTCTCCAAATCGGTGTCACCAAGGAAGAGATTGGCCAGGCCAAATGGGATGACCTGGTGAAGAAGCTCACAAGGAGGCCCAGCCAATAAACCAGGATAACTTGGTGATGTATGTGGGCGTGGTATTGGAAGAGGGAAAACATCACCTCCAGGCTATAGTTCACGTTATTCCTGCAGCTCCTTGGGGGATTTCAATACACCTATTTGTGCAGGATGATGCAGGTCCCAGATGCTAGTGAAGCGGCATCATGGTCCACCATCAACCATTTTGGACACTTTCAGGCTGTTGAGTTGACGCTTCAATCGCTTGGGTTGCTGGAGTCGTCGGGAAATCCTTGGCACTTCAGCCACGTTGCCCCATCAATGCACCCTGTCCAAATTGGACCTGGCCTTCCAAACGAGGGCTGAGCCATTTTGTTTTTTGACCTGGTTGACCCGCCCGCGGGCCCCAGGCCGGTGAGGGTCACCTTCCGCCGCAGTCCTCCGCCGGTGGACACGGCCCCAGCACTTCCAGACCTGGGCCTTGGGAAGCTTTTCTCGGCAGCCCAAGGCGCAGGGGGACCTGTCCTTGGCGTCAACGTTTTGGCGACATCGTTTTGGGACGGAATCAGATGTCGTGGCGTGGAATCGTGGAACATGTGGCCAGCTCAATCAGACGGCGCAGAGAAGCAAAGCACTTCGACACTCGAAACCTCAAAGAGATCACATGTACTGTACTTGCCGGTCATAGTATATATTATACATAGTAATGGCATGGAACATGTTGGAAAAGGGTCTCTTATATAGAGGAAATGGGCTTTGGAAGGTCCATGTTGATATGTTGATGACCAGCAGTGTAAGGTAGATCCATTCTCTTGAGGTTTTTGTCGAATGCATTCATATGTATATATATATATATGTGTTTTTGTGCCATTTACTCTACTACGTATTGCAACTGAAGTCTCACTTCATTGGATTCATCCAGTGCGGGTGTAAGACATGGCGTGGTTGGTTGATTCCGTAGCTCTCTCCAGGACACATGTCCCCAGCGCCCCTCCCAAACCGGCCCCTCCCCAACCCGACGCTTTGGCCTACAGTACCTCCTTGGGCGGTGCTTTGGCCTGGTCCGCAGGTTTTGACCTCAGCAAGGTTGGAAGTGCTGGACTCGAGCTCACCAACAAGGCAAGGCGGCTACCGAGGCTCATTGACTGAGGCCCTAGCTGGACCTCAAGTGCTTTGATGCATGCCAAAGGGAGATCTCCTTGGGGATCATCGACTGAATTGTATGTTTCACGGTCACCATCGGCAATTAGGACTTAAAGTGTTTGCATCATGGTAGTTGCATAGTCACTTATAGAAGAACGTTGACTTTGCGACTTCGCAGAAGTGCGTGGCACGGAACAGGAGGAACCAACCATCAGCATGACCATGCATGACCCCAGCTCCAGCCCCAAACAATGTTGTTCTGAGTTCCTTAGGTGTCATCCTTCATTCAAATCTGACAGGTGAGCGCTGTTGGATTGGACCTTGGAAAGTCTGCCGCTGGTGCGGCTGCTGGGGCAGCTGCTGCCGCAGCAGCTGCTGGTGGAGCTGCGCGCGAAGTTGCGGCGGAGCTGGGCGGGGCCGCGGCGGCAGTGGCAGGGCTGGGCGCTCCGCGCGAGGAAGCGGAGCTTGGAGGAAATCTGGCCCTGGGGCTAGGCGCTGCGCTCGAAAAGGCAGAGCTGAGTGGGGCTTTGGCCCCAGCCACACCGCTGACTGGGCTGAGCCAGGTTGTGCACGAGAAGGTGGAAGAGCACAGCGGAGC